CCTTGTGCATAAATACCCTGTTCCCAGGGACCTGACAGCCAAGGATTGCGGGTAATGTGCATATCCACGAGGTCCGGGCATCTGTCCTCAGTGTTTCTAGGGAGAAATGTATTGCGCGCCTTCTCCCGTTGTCATTAACCTTGCGCCCCGAGTCAGGATGAGGGTGGATGGAGCCAGGAGGGGGTGCAGGTGTGGCCACTGACATCTTCGTATCGTGGTTAGAGGTCTGGGGCCTGGTGTAGTTGCCTGTGGGCAGGGCTGGCCCTCTGGCTTTGTGGCCACCTTCCAGGCAGGCAGTGCTCTGCTGTAGAGAATCGTCTCCCAGGGCCACCTGTGCCTTGGTTCCCCTTCTTCTGCTCTAATTCAGTGGCTGTCCTTGAGAGCCCCCATCCTGCACCCAGAGGGAGAGAGTGTCACAGAGCATCCTTTACATGCACTTGTTTCGCCAGCACGCGGAGGGGGCGCCGGAGCCCTGGTGCTTTTCCCCTCAGTTCGTGTGGGGCTGCGCTCTGTCCAGTAGGACTTCACAGCCCATTGAGCTGAAAGGGACAAGACTAGGTGCTCCTAAGAGGGGTGGGAGTCAGCACATCACAGGGAACAAGATGCGGTAGCCTAACCCCGGGCGTCATTATGCCACTTGGTAAAGTGTGAATCCCCAGGGGAGCGGGCATTTGTGGGGTGAATTCCCACCGGAACATGTGTAGAACTATTATAGGTAAACTAATTGCTCAAGATCTGGCATCTGTGGCCTAGGCTTATGGTAGGTCTCCAGGGAAGCCAGGTGGCACAGATGAAGGGCTTGGAATCAAGTAGTGCTGTGTGCTCTATGCCAGGCAAAGGCCAGTTCAGTCCCTACCTGGAGACAGTTGCTGTCTTCATCAGGGAACGGTCTGGGAAGCCCCCTCTACTGTGTTTGTCTAGCTGCCAGATTGAGGGTTCTGGCCCCATGTTCCGTGTGCCCTCTGCCAGCTGGCCTGGACTGAGGGCAGTGGCCCAGTTGAGGCTCCTGCCCAAGTTTAAGTGTCCCCACATGACACTTGGGGCCCCATCTGTCACTGACTTGCAGATGATTTTCCAGAAGAAAGGTGGTTATCGCTTTCTGCAGGCGTGGAATGTTTCCCTTCATTCTAGGCTTTTTTGGGGGAATGGGTGACAAGGTTATCCCCAAGTGCGCAGAGAAGTGGCAGTCACCCAGCCCCCAACATTGCATGCAGCCAGCTAGCCATTCCAGGGTTCCTGCAGTGTGACCTCCCTGCAGCGGAAGGAGTCTCTGTGGGTTGGTTGGGGGATGGCTCTTGACAAGCAAGAAGGGTTTGTTCCCGGGGTCTCCTGCTGAGCCTCTGCACCATTTAGCCTCTGGAGAGGCAGCTGGCTGGTTTGGTGGCTGTGGAGGGAGCCCAGGTGGAGTAGAGGAAGAAGGAGGTGTAAGCCTGGGCTGTGGGATTGGCTTTGCTGTGCTTATAAATTATCGCCACTTGACGCGTCAGAGGGGCTGGCCCGGGCTCGGCATCGCCCTGGGCTCCAGTTATCACAGCTCCAGTGTCTTCCTGAGTCAGTGGTTCCTTTTTTAAGGCAGTGATACAGAGTGTGTGTTATCCTTTCAGTGCATTTCTCAGCTGTGTACAGTGTTCAAGGGGTGGCTGCTCCCCAGAGTCCAGCGTTTCCAGCATACATAGGGTCAGGTCAGGATCCTCCGCTCTGCTGGCCCAGTCTGCAGCTCAGCACGCCCTACACGGGGGTGTCGGGCTGCCCTTGGCGCCAGCCTCTGGGGCATAGGTGTCACCAGGCGGTGCTTTGGGCACGGCCTCCTGGCTGCAAAGATTACCCACTGCTGCCTGGAATCTTCCTGTTTACTTTGGCCTCTGCTGCACGGTTTTGGCGCCTGCATTCTCCCCCTCTGCGCCGGAGCCCTGGTCTCCATCCATTCTTTCAGTCTCGGCTGCACCGCTTGCTTGCCCTGAGTAGCAATTCTGTGTCGTCCAAAATGCCCAGCAGGCAGCCGAGGGCTGAGCAGCTGGATCGGAGGGTAACCAACTCCAAGGAGGCAGTCTCCTTCTGCAGAAGTAAACTCCAGAGAAGCAAAAGTTGGGGTTTTGTTTTTTAGGTTTTTCTTTTTCTTTCACTGTGTGATTCAGGCTGGCCTGGAACTCACAGCAGTCCTCCTGCCTCAGCCTCCTGACTGCTGGGATTGCAGGCATGTGCCACCACGCCAGAGGCAGGAGAGGTTTTCACCTGCGATCCTCCCAGCTGCTTAGGGTCGGCTCGCCTTTCTCAGGATGGAAAAGGCAGAGGCTGACAGCTGTAAATGTGTAGGACAGCTGCAGCCCCAGCCCGGTGGGGAGCTTGGACGCAGTGTTTTGGGTTTGTTTGTGTTTGGTGTTCTCCACGCACAGCGCCACTCAGGTGGGCGCCTGTGGTTGAGCTGAGTGTCCTTAGGTCCTCAGCGCTGGCTTTTGGTGGGTCTTCCCGCCTGAGCATTCCCTCGGGCCTGGCTTGTGTGAGTTCAGCTACCTCGCTTTTCCTCCCTCGTGATTCCTGCCATAGTTGCCAGCCCTGCCCGGGGTCTTGGAGTTATGAATCTCCTCCCCCTCCTGATCTTGCGGGTTCTCCCCTCCATTAATTTTCCTTCCAGTCTCGCCCTCTGCTTGCATCCTAGCAGGCTTCTTGTTACCATTTACTTTTTTCTGGGTGGTGATGCTGGGGATGGAACCTGGGACGTGCTACTACTGAGCTATATCCCCAAGCCTTTTTATTTTTAATTTTGAGTCATTCTTGCTAAATTGCCCCAGCTGGTCTGGAACTTAAATCCTGCTGCCTCAGCCTCCTGAGTTGCTGGGATGACAGGTGTGTGCCACCTCATCTGGCTTGTTTGCTTCTTTTTCCTTTTCTGCCTTTAGCTTGGACTTGCACAGGTTGCTGGAGGGCTGTTACACAGATGTTAGTCCGTATGTCCGCTGTCCACTTACAGTCTGTTCCCATCCTCATGTCTATTCTGCGTCCCATCCCTGTCCCAGCCTCTTCCTCCAGGTCCCTAGTGAGTCACCGCTCTTTCCTGGGAGCCCTAAAGTTCCATTGTACTCAGCCAGGGGAGCTGTTTCATCCCAGGTCTCTTTTTAAAATTAACTTTTTAAATTGATAAAAATTGCATATACTTATCATGTACCTATTTTTTTGTTAAATTTGAATTGGAAAAATTGCCCTGTGTCTTACACCTGGCTGGCTGAGTGCCTGGAGGCCGAGCCTCCTGCCAGCTCATCACACACTAGGGCCTCCCTGTCCTTGTCTGCCACCAGCCCTTCCCTTTTGAAAGACTGTCCCCAGAGTGCGTAACTTGAGGGTGCTCTGGTTAAGTTGGTCCAGTGCTTCTGACACCCCGTGTGCAGTGCTTCCAAGAAAGACAAGCACAAGGGTGAGCACCGTGTGGTCCCCTCCAGGGGCGAGGCACAGCGGGACTGAGCCGAGGGCTGAGGCAGGATGAGGAGTGCAGGGAGTTGGCCGTGAACGTCGCTGATGACCGATGTTCTGTGAGGCAGCCAGGTTGGGCCCTTGGGAGTCGCCAGCCCTGCAGTCGGGCCCGAGGCACCGGAGAATTTTGCCCAGTGGAGAAATGAATCTTGGGCCCCCAGGTTGTGGGGCAGGGTGGGCATCAAGCTGGGGTGTTTCCTATTTGCTTAGTTCTGGGACCCAAGGCCCGAGCAGCTTAGCAGCAGCTTCTGTGTGTGTGCGTGTGTGAGATCGTGTGCGGGGAGGGACCCTCAGCACGAACCGTCCACGTGGACTGCGGACTGCCAGATGTGTTCTGACTTTGAAGGCGTGGGACTATAGGGGGAGGAGGAGGTGTGAGGGGCCTGCGCTTCGTTCCCGGGAGTGGCATCTCCGAGGCTGGCACCGGTGGCAGCAGGCGCCCCCACCAGCCTGGTGGTAGAGGTCTGAACAGAGGCAGGCTGAGAGGGAGGAGGGAGCTCTGTGGGCTGGTCTGGGAGGGCGACTGCACAGGGAGATTGCCCAGCTCGGGGGAGTCGCCCTGGCCGTGTGGCACTCGTGCCCTGGCTGCTGCCTTCTGCTTATCTGGCACTTAGAAACAAGTGTCTACTTGGCCGAACTTCCTTCTGTAACACTCGTGCATTTGATACTTGGTATCAGGACTGTGTCTATTAAAAGTCGGAGGTTTTCACAAACCAGAGTGGATGTGTACAGTAGGCTCCCCGTCAGTGGCTTTGGCTGCCCAGGGTGTCTAGAGTGCTTTGAAGGCTGCGGCTTCGTGCTCAGTGGAGAGGAACTGGCCTCAGCCACCACCTGCATCAGGGCACAGTGTCAGGTTTGTGTGTGGCGGAGGCTGCAGAGCCACCTGGATATGTCACTGGGGCCCTGTCTGTGCTGTGGGGACCTGGGACATTGTTACTGGTGACCCGGGGGTGAGAAGTCCTCTGCCCTGTGTCCTGCATGCGTGGAGTGGAGGTGGGCACCTCCCTGTGCCTTGGGGCTGTGGACAGGGTGGCAGGTCCAGGGGCGGCCCTTGCCTCCACAGCCTGGGCCTGTTCCTCCGAGGTGAGCAGCTGTTCTTAGAGCCTCAGTGTCCCCTCCGCAGCGTTGCAGGACAGGGGATGGCCATCCTTGCTGACATCTCTGTGGGGAGCAGGTGGACAGACCCCAGTGAGCAAGGTGGTTTCTTACAGTGAAAGTGCTGAAAGGACGAGGGTGTGGTGCAGGATGTCGGGGTGGGTGGTGCTTTCTCTTGGAGGCCAGCGACGTCTTCCCTGCAGAGGTGATATTTGGTGAGCGGGGTGTCCAGGGGAGGAGCATCTGCAGAGGAGCCAACTGCATGTGGGACAGAGGATGTGGAGGTGCAGGTGGGGACGCTGCTGCCTAGGACCCCCTGGGATCTTCTGTGGTCTCCTCAATCCCTCGGAAGAGGCGCTTCCGTCCTGTGGCCTCACTGACTGTGCTCCCAGCCCTGCCCGAGGCTGCAGCTGACCCTTCCCGCCTCTGTCTCCCTGCAGTGCACCGTGCAGGTCAAGTTAGAGCTGGGACACCGGGCCCAGCTGCGCAAGAAGCCCACCACGGAGGGCTTCACCCACGACTGGATGGTGTTTGTCCGAGGCCCCGAGCAGTGTGAGATCCAGCACTTCGTGGAGAAGGTGATCTTCCGGCTGCACGACAGCTTCCCCAAGCCCAAGCGTGGTGAGTGGCCCACCTCGTTCCCCATTTTCTTGCCAGTGGTACATGGTACCCAGCCTTGTGACACAGCTGTGTCCTGCTCCCTGCCCCAAGGGAGTGCAGCCCCTCCCCAGCTGCCAGGTGAGCCACGGGACTGTGTGTGTCACCGGGTAGAGTCACTCTGAGGGGCCCGTCGCTCGTGGGTGGGGGTGGCTGCAGCCAGCTGTTCATGATCTGGAAACCACCCATGGGCCTACGGGGTGCTGTTCTGAGGATTCCTAGTATTTAGAGCAGAAAGAGTCAGGGGTCCTGTCACCAGTGTCTGGTGTCTTGCGTGGCTCCCTTCCCTGCCTCACTGTCGGCTGCTGCTTGGTGAGCAGCAGTACCCTGCACGTCTCCACCGAGCCCTCGTAGCCCTGAGCCTCCTGGGGAACGCAGGTGGGCACAGTCTGTGGTCAGGGATACCTTCTTCGGGAGGGGCCCTGGGGGAAGAAGGGTTCGGTGGGGATTTGGACACAAGGTCGGTGGTCTCTCCTGAGTCGGTTGGGGCTGAGTCCCCAGGGTGAAGCTCAGGGCCTGGCATCTGGCAGGGTCCAGTCCTTTTTTTTTTTTTTTATTGCAGTGCTGGGGTTGGAACCCAGGGCCTGATGTTTGCCAAGCAAGTGCTCACCAGCGAGCTGTACCCCCATTCCTCCCCAGTAAACCAGCTTGCCTTTCTCCCGCCTTTTCTCTGCCTCCCTTCTTTACTTGTCCCATCCCCACCTCCCACCCTCTTTCTTCCTTCTGTCCTCTTCTGCCTCCACCCAGGGCCTCCACATGCCCGGCGAGTGCTGTCCCTCAGCTCTGTCACCAGCCCTCTTAGCGTCCCCCTAAGTCACCCCAGTTGGCCCTGAGCTTGCCAACCCGAGTAGTGGGGACGACAGACGTGTGCCACTGCCCCGGCAGTATTGCCAGGATGGATGTGCCTTAGCAGAAGGGAAACCTTTCCGCAGCCAGGGTTTTTGGGGGGAGAGCTGTTGCTGGCTGCTACACCCCACCTGGTGTACGAGGGTTGCTCAGCTGCCGAAGTAGCTCCTGAGTGAGGCTGACAGGCGTCACAGACGCAGACCTGTGCTTGCGCAGGGGCACCCTCCTGTGACTGCTGGTGGCAGCAGGTGCGAGCTGTTGCCTTCCCTCCTTGCCTGTCGTCCCTGAGCCTCCCCCCCAACCCTCTTGGGAGTGGCAGGTCCTCATAAGGCACTGGCAGCCCAGCCAGCACGTAGCCCTCCTGCCGGGCTCTTCTGTGCCCTTCTGCCTGTCCTCACAGCGCGGGGATAGGCCCTGGTGACGGTGTCTACCCACCTTGAAGCCGTTCACCTTTGTCCCCACCATCACAGCAGCCCAGCAGCTCCTCAAAGTCATACTCATAGCGATCTGCTTTCTTCTGGCTTTGGTTCCGTGCTTGTGCTCCTGGTGGCAGCCCTGTACCCTGGGGCCTCTCGGGATCCCTGTGACTCAGACGTGCAAATGGAGGTGGCAGTGGCCCAGTCACTTACTTGAGGGCATAAGGAACCTGTAGGTTCTGAGCTCTGAGTTCTTGAAAGATGGGGTGGTAGTTGAGGGCCACTCTCCCATGGTGCATTCGGAGCCGAGGCTATTTGTCCAGACTGTTGGGGCAGCTGCTTCACCTGCACGGAACCGCGGGGTGAGCTCCCCGTTTCTAGCATGGACAGCAGGGTGAGCTCCCTGACCACCCTGCATGCTGCAGAGTGACCGCCTGGTTCACCATGTGTCTTGGAGTGGTCTACCCGGTTCGTCACACACGCATCACAGGGTAAAAGCCCAGGTTGTCACATAGGCAGCAGGGTAACCACTTGGTTCATCACCCCATGCATGGCAAAGGACCTGGTTCATCCCGGTAGATCAGAGAGTAACCGCCAGTTCCTCAGCTGTTACAGAGTAACTCCTCAGCTCTTTAGAAGTATCAAAGACTAAGTGCACAGCTGTTAGGGAGAGAGAGCCTCCCTAGAGGACTCTCTCTAGAAGGATACTTTGCACTGAGAAAGTATCTTTCTGGGCACATACAAATACATTGTAGCAAAGTGAAGAGAACTGTAAGTGAGAGAATAAGTTGCCAGTTCTATCACACCCTTGCAGATTGCAATGTGTGCTTAACACCAGCTGATTGAAATCCTATTTCTTGACTTATTTTCAAATATAAACAGTGTTTATTGAAGGACCTTTGAAAGGTTTACAGTTATCCCAAACTACCCCCATTTTTGCCAACAACACCCCAGTTTTTAAAATTTTTGCACTGGGGATCGAGAGGGTGCTGAGGTACATCCAGGACCCTTTTAGTTTTTGAGACAGTGTCTCACTAAGATCTCAGGCTAAGCTCAAACTTGTTATCCTCCTGCCTCAGCCTCCTAGAGTGCTGCGATGACTGGTATGCACCACCCGCCTGATTAAATTGTTTGTAATTAAGTGATCTGCTTTTGCCTTGGTTTGTGTCTTCATTTTGTTTTGTTCTGGTACTGGGGATAGAACCCAGGGCTGCACCACCAGCTCCATCTGGGTCTTTGTTTGATGAGGCAAGCCTGGCTCCCTCCAGGGCCCACCGCTGGAGAGCCCTGTGTCCCCTCTTGGGGGGTGTCCTCTGGCTTCCAGGTCTAACTTACTGCTGCTTTGCCAGTACACGTACCCGGGCTCGTGCTGCTTTCGTTTATTTTCCTTGTTAGCACCATCTTAACACGTCTGTTCTCTGTCTCACCCGGCCCCGGATGAAGGGTATGCGTCTGTTCTGTTTGCTGTGGTGTCCCTGGTGCCCACCGGACACAGTAGTTGCTCAGTAAATGTTATGGCCTAAATTAGAGGGCTCTTCCACCCAGTGATCTTCCTGTGATGCCTTCTTAATCCCTGCTGGGGAGGACAAGGCCTAAGACCCTGATTTTGCCGGGCCTTCTGTCCCCTCCTGTGAAGAGCTGTACTGGAAGGTGGAAGAGCTGAAACCAAGACCTTCCAGTGTAGCCCAGCTGGGTGGGCTCTGGGCTTCTTCCTGAATCCTGAATTTTAGGCCACTTGATCGAGACTGCCCAAGGTCATATCAAGATCAGATGAGTTTTTGGTCATTTTTGTTTAAAATTCTTCTTCGTTTTAGCTTGTGTCGTGATATTTGGAATAACTATTTGCTCTCCTTTTTGCTCTGTATCTTTATTCTGTCTTCTTTTTTTTTTTTTTTTTTCTCTCGCATCTTCTCCGTCATTCTGTGGAGCAGGTGGTTTTATTCTTTTCACCCCTGAGTACTCCATCTCATCCCATCCCTCCGCCTTCCCCCTGTAATCAGACTGGGTCCTTGGGCCGCCTCTTGTGCCATCAGTACTCTAGGCCTTTTCTTCCCTGTGCTCCTGGAGGGATTTATTTATTCCCCTTTGTTTTGGTTTGTTTTCTCCTGTAATAGAGCAGTTTCTCAAGTACTGTCCCCAGAGGTTAACTACTCGAGAAATTTCCTAAGAGCTGTGTGGGCAGCCGGGCCCTCTGAGCCCCAGCGGCTGGCATCTGCTGCCGCTTCTGCCTGTGCGCGTGCGCGCTGTGTTGGGCTGCATTCCGGGTGGAGGTGTCGCTTCAGTGGCTCCGAGAAGTTTGGGGCTGCCGTGTCCTTATGCTAATGCAGGGTCCTGCTTTTTTCCCCAGCATTTGGGATGTTGCAGGCAACACTGTGGCTGGGGTTTTCGTTGTTCTCTGTGTGTTGTGACATTTTAGCACAGTTTCCTTCCTTCTGTCCATTTCGATTCGTTCTTTTTGGGATGCTTTATTTGACCTCGTGTGCTTAGGCGTCGTCATCTGTGAACTGAGATGGCTGTGAGTGCTCCTAAGCTGTTGTAAGGACTGAGCCAATCGGAGAGCCATGCTGTGCTGTAGCTATGAGAATTGGTAGCTGTGCCAGCAGAATCATCTAATCCAAGGCATTTCTTTACGTCTCACTGGGGTTTTTGGTTTTCTGAGACAGGGTCTTTCCATGTAGTGCAGGTCTGCCTGAAATTTGCTATGTAGCCCTGGCTGACACGACCTTCCTGCCTCAGCCTCCCAAGTTCTGGGATGACAGATATGCCTCACTATTCCTGCCCTCCTGTCTCACCTGTTTTTTGTTTTTTGGTTTTACTGAGTATTGAACCCAGAGGCTTAGCACTGAGCTGCATCCCCAGCCCCTTTTATTTTTTATTTTGAGAATAGGTGTTGCTAAGTTGCTCAGGTTCATCTTGGATTTGCAGTCCTACCTCAGCCTCCCACAGTGTTGGAATTGCAGGGGTGTACCACCTCACCCTGCTCTGGGTGTACTATCTGGGAGATTTTATTTTCTACCCATCCTACTGAATTAAAAAACTAGATGTATGGGCTGGGGATGTAGCTCAGTGGCATAACACTTGCCTGGCAAGCCTGAGGTCTTGAGTTCGATTCCTGGTACAAAAAACCCCAAAAAACTAGATGCATTGTGATAATGAGTACATTCCTGTTCTTTGGTATATGTGCTGCTGAAGCAAGTGTTCCATTCCTATTCTGTAGTCTTCCATTTGTTGGCAGTACCTCGGTGCTTAGGGCATTGACTTCAGGCATTGGTTATTGTTTGTTTATTTATGTTTTATTTTTTTATTTTTGGTGCTGGGGCTGGAATCCAGGGCTTTGTGTATGCTAAGTTAGTGCTAACCCCCAAGCTATACTCCAGCCTAGTCCGACTATCTTCTCTTCTGTCATTTGTGCGTATGTATTTTTGTAGTAGTAGGGATTAAATCCAAGGCCTTTATGTACTGAGCTATGTCCCCAACCCTTTTTAAAAATTTAGTTTGAGATGGGGTCTTGTAAGTTGCCCAGGCTTGGCTGGAATTTATAAACCTCCTGCTTCAGCCTCCTAGAATACTAGGGTTATAAGCATGCGCCATCGTGCCTGACTTTTTTCTTTTTTCAACTCTTTTGTGGTCTCCGCGTTTTTCTGGGCTCCTTCCTCAGGTGAGGTTTTTTTTAGCACTCTGTGGCAGGGTGGGTTCTGTTAATCCATGGGACTTCCAGATTTCCTGCTGAGGAGGGATTTCCTGTCCCTCTTCTACCCAGAAGCATTTGCTCCCCACAGACAGCTCCTCTGTCAGGACTGGGAATCCTCTGGATTTCCCTGAGGGAAGCTGGTAGCTGCCCTGCCGAGAAGAGGGGATAAAAAGAGTCCCCAGGACTGGTAGTCCAAATAGAGCCTTCCAGTTTCATTTTCCTAGCAAAATAATTCCTGTGCTGAGATCTAATCGCACAGCATAAACTATCCTGTTACCATGTACGCTTAGTGAGGGTAACATACTCACCATTTGTGCAGACGTGGCTGCTAATTCCGTCACCACCCTCTACTTCCAGGACAGTACTATACCCTGAGAGAAGCCCCAGGCCCCCAACTCACCGTCACTCCCACCTCTGCCTGCCTTCCCACCTCCAGCTTCTCATCCTTTCTCTGCCCCTCTTAGGGCCTGAAGGCCACCGCCCAGGACTCCTACGTTCTGGCACAGAAGGGGCCCGTCCCCGCGCCTACCCTGCTTCCAGCGGCTCCCTGACCACCCGCATCTCCTGCTTTCTCTTCACAGCTGGCTTGGTTTCATGTCACCTTGGCTTGACTGTGACTCCTGTGGGTTATCAGGTGACACGGCAGCCTGGCCTCCCCCGGGGCTCTGCAGGGCCACTTCTAGAGCGCTGGCTGGGGAGAGGCTGGAGAACTCAGGAAGCTCGCTTCCCTGAAGGGCTGTGTAGTCTGTGGAACATAGCGAGAAAAGATGTGACACAGAGGCTGGAGAAAGCATCTGCTCTCAGCAGAAGCACGTGACCTAGGTGTCAGGGGCCAAGGGAACCTGGCCTGCCCCTGCTGGGAGGTGGCCCTGCTGTGGGTCTCATAGCTGGGTGGGATTTAGACTGAGGGTGTGGGGAGATCACACCGGCACGGGACCTGGGGTCTGCAGGCTTATCCCTCCTCCTTCCCTGGGCACCTCCGCTCTCTTTCCCAGGTGCAGGTTGGGTAACCTGGATGTGGGTACCCACAAGCTCATGGGCCCCAAGAGCAGACTGCAGATGTCCAGGGCTGGAGTTGGGCAGCTGTGAGCCCCCGCTTCCTGGCTGTCTGCCCTCACAACGCAGGGCCTCGGGGAGGGATCGAACTGTGGCCTGGGCCGCCTGGCAGAGACATGGAGTGCGGCCTGAGCCAGCTGCACTCTGCAGATGCTTACTGAGCGCCTCCGAGAGCAAGTGTCTGTCAGAGGCAGCTTCTGTCCCTGGTCCCAGGCCCTGGAGCTGTGGCTCTGAGGAAGACAGCCTCCTGGTGGGGACGGAGGGCAGACAGGGAGCGCTGCAGAGCCCTGGGAGCTGGGCGGGGAGGTCGGGCTGGGTGCCCAGCAGGGGTGCTGCAGGAAGTAACCGGCAACCCAGCCTGGCCCTGGGCCCTGAAGTGGCCTGGGGAAGAGGAGGCTGGAAGAGACCGTGCACCTCGCAGGCCTGGGGAGGTGAGAAGTCCTCTGTGCGGCAGTGGGAGCCTCTGGGGGTGCAGTTAGCCTTACGCCTCACGTGGTCCATTGTTGTAGCTTCCTGGCCTGAAGCTGCCCAGGAAGGAGTCTGGGCCACTGCTGGATTGCCCTGCAGTGACAATATAAGCTTAGGAAGAGGTGGAAGTAGGTCCCTGGGTGAAGGGCGGGCAGCCTGGTCCCTAGCTGTGACCTGCAGTGGGTTGCAGATTTACGGGTGCATCTGCAGTCTTTTTGAGTTGGGCTGCATCTGAGGCCCCTCGGCAGCGTCCCCTTGAGGCTGTTGGCAGAGTGGAAGGAGCCATGCTGGAGATTTGGGACAAGGCCATAGTACTGCTGTCCCCAGGCTGCAGGTTCTGCCTGTTGTCCTGTAGACAGGGCTGCTCCTTCTCCCCCAGTTTGAGGGTGACAACCCCCCAAGAGTAAGCTAAGGACGGGTTAGGGGCTGCCAGGAAGCTTGGGACACTCATCCCCTTGTGCTAGAGACTCCCCCGCAGCTGTCAGGCGGGCCAGTCTTGCCTTTGAGGGCCCCTGATCATTCACATGTACTCCACTTGCCCAGCTTGTTTCTCTGAAGGTACTCGAGGCCCTTATTTGTCTTTTTTCTTTAAGAAAATCATGTGGTTTTAGTGTAAGAAGTCATGTCTTACTGTGTTCCATTAACTTTTCCAGCAAGTTCTGTAAGAATTACCTTGCTAGTGCAGATGTGTGTGTATAAAGGTTTTTCATGTATAGTTCACGGTGGCCATGAGCTGGCCTCAAACTCACAGTGATCCTCCTGTCTTAGCCTTCCAAGTGCTGGAATTACAGGCATGGGCCACCACCCCCGGCTCTGTACAAGTTTTTAACAGTTGATGCTTTGTTAAGTGGAGTAAGCCAAGACACCGATGAAATCCTGCATGATCTTACCTGTATGTAGAATTTACAGTCCTCTCACAAAGACAAAGTGAGACGGTGCTGCCAGGAGCTCAGGAGATGGCATCAGAGGACACAGCTGTCACTTGTATAAGAAGGCCGAGTTCTGTGCCACGTGCACTGACAGCCAGCAAGACTGAGTGTGGGTGTCAAACAGCTAAGAGGATGGCTTGTGGTAAATGTGTTTAGGGGACAAAAGGATCAGAGGAAGCTCTGGAGGTGACGGGTATGTTTCTTGCCTTGGTGGTGGTAGTTATGCGGGTGTGTGCCCATCCCCAGATACGAGGACATGCACTTTAAACACGTGGCTTTTCACATACTGGTGTACCTTGAGGACGTGGGGGACTCCCACCCCGCCATCAGCAACTGGCAGGATTTTTTCCTTTCTCTGAGGTATAGTGGCTACCTCCCGAGATGAAGGGGCAGAAGACGGGGACTTGATCTTTATAATTCTCTTTTTTTTCCTTAAAACCTGGGGAACAGTGTCTTCGTGGTATTTGCCGGATGGCAGTAGACTTGTTGGAACACGCACAGTTTATTTTGGAGGAGATTGTGGACATGGGTTATTTTATGTGTACTTTGCGATATTCACTTCAGTTTTGTTTTTTATTCCCCCAGTGCTGGAGGTTGAACCCCACAGCCGTTGCACCTAGCCTTTTAAAGTTTTTTGTTTTGAAACAAAGTCTCTCTTAAGTTGCCTCTGCTGGGCTCAGAATGCTCCTGCCTCAGCCGCCTAGAATGCTGATTACAGGCTTATGCCACCATGCTGGCTTCAGGTTGCTCCCGTTAGGCCCCGAAGTGGTGCCCAGAGGGCAGTGCTGTGAGAGCCTGCTCCGGTGTAAACAGCCCAGCACGGAGCGGGGGTCAGAGCTCAGGCAGAGCCAGCCGTGCGGGGAGGTGGCCGCTGTGGGGTGCTGTCTTGCCGGCCCCTGCAACTGAGGGGCCTGAGTCCTGTAATTGGTGGCCTTGCCTGGTCTTAGCTTCCTCGCATGCTGCAGGAGCAAGTGTCCGGGTGACAGTCGCACACCACTCCTGCTGTGCCCGTTGCCAGCTCCTCGACTCACCCTTCTCCTGCCCAGCCTGGCCCTCCAACTTCCCATGTCTTCTTCCTTCAGCAGGAACCACTGGACAGCCAGGGAGGAGGTGGGGTGGCCTTGGAGGGGACAGGAAGCAGACGAAGCTGACCGATGGTTTTCCCTTTCTTTTTAGTGTGCAAGGAGCCCCCCTACAAAGTGGAGGAGTCGGGTTACGCTGGCTTCATCATGCCCATTGAGGTGTACTTCAAAAACAAGGTAGGAGCCACGCAGATCATTGTAATAATCCTTTACACCTGGCCAGGCCAGGAACGTGAGGCATCACTGATCATGCCTGCAGGCCTGTGGGAGCTCTGGGCATGGTGCTCAGGTGCACCGCCTTCCCTGGGAGCTGCGTGCGTCTCAGTGGTACCCACCTCCAGGTTGGGTCCTTGGGAGCTGTTCACAGACCATCAGTCATTCTGAGACGTTCTTGGCATGGAGGCCTTAAGGCCTGGGACCAGCACCTCTGAGCCTAGAGCCAGCTCAGCTGTGGGAGACTCCTAGAGTCCTGGCTCTTGGCCCTGTGGGGTGGGTCCTGTGGCAGATGAGCATGACCTTGTAGCACCCATCTTAGCAGCTGAGGGATTGCGTGCATCCACCTGCTAAGTGCCTGCCCACCTCGGTGTTCTGCGGTTGGTGGAACCACATCGCTGTGGCCAGTTAAACTCTCCTCCGGGCTGGCTTAGAGGAAGAGCCTTTGAGGTTGTGGAGCAGTCTGGGATCCCACTGGCCTGGAGGCTTTTATGTCCCTGGCGCTTGTGATCCCTGGCACACAGGCCTTCCTCCCCTTGCCCGGGCTGGCGTGCAGGCCAGACAGTACGCTGGGTGATGCCGGTTCCTAGGACTTTCCCTGGCCCGGTGGCCCTGGTTGAGCTTGGAAGGTGACCCCAGCAAGGCTGGGGAGTCCCAGCAAATCTCCATAAGGAGGACGCTTGGTGTTTGCATCTCAGCTGGGACAGCTGTTCTGTCCTGCAGTGTCCACATGGGCCACCGCTGTACCAGCCTATCACTGAAAGTGGGGGTGACACGGTGCTGTAAGAGTAGATGGGTCCTACTTGCTGCCCAGGCTCTTGGTGATGAGCCAGATGTCACCCGTGTTTGTGCCCAGTGTGGCCACAGCCCCTCTTGCTCACCCGCCACCACTGCCAGCCCAGTGCCCCAGCCCAGTCCGTAGCGTTCTGTCTCATTGGGGCCCACTGTGTCACACTGCTGGGCTTACTTGCAGTGGCCGCAGGTAAGCTGCAGCTTACCAAGGACCCGACCATGGACACAGGTCCATGTAGCACCCCAGTTCTGAGGCTGGGTCGGGCCCCAGCTTGCCTGAGGCCTTGCGTACCCTCAGAGGCCCACTGGGGCTATGTTCTGCACCATTCCTTTCTTTTTTCTGTGTAGGGGCCATGTTCCAATGTCCCTGTGGGTTGAGCTGACATCTGTGTTCTTGGACATCTCCGTGAGTCTCCGTGAGGGGAGACTGACGCCCCCACCTGGCTGGTCCCCAGGCCTCCCAAGGCATTGAAAGCTGCCCTGAAAGGGGACGCGAGCCCTCGGTGGTTCCTGTTTGGCTCAGCTGTGCGTGTGCAGTGCTCCCTCTGGCCTCTGCCCAGACTTGACGGTCTCCGGGGCTCCAGGCTGCCCCTGCTGGGGGAGAGATCCCATGGGGTGACCCTCTGGCTATGGAACCGTTCTTGCCAGGCTCAGCATCCTCCCTTGTGTGGGACTTGGGGTGTGGGTTATGGGCTTGCATGTTGGTGTGGGACCCCCGCTCCTTCAGAGGTCCCCAGGCTGCCTCGAGCACGGTATCTGCCCTGGTGCCCTCTGGCACAGCTCACAGCTCACTGCTCCTCTGCCTCCCGCAACCCCAGCTGTGTGGCCTTGGCCAGGATGCTTTGTGTAAGCCACAGCATTTGCGTTGGGTAAAACCCTCCTGTGTCTGGTGGAGCAGAGGTTTGAGTCTCAGCAGGTTTTCGCTTGAACCCTCATAGAGCATGGCAAGTGTTTCTCTTCCCATCCTCGACCTCCGCTTGGTCCCTGCAGAGGCTGTGGGCCAGGCTGGCAGCTTCCTCTGCAGGTTTCCCAGGAGCCCTCTTCCTGGTGGCGATGGCTGCAGGAACCCAGGGATGTGCCCCCCACAGGGAGGGCACACAGCTTTGGTCATGGTTGTGGCAGTGGGTGTGCAGTGCGCCAGGCATCCCAGATTGCCTGGGTCTCAGGATGAAGGAGCTCTTGGGGACACATCACCTGGTCAGGGGCACACATCCTGGCCGGGCAGGGATTGGATCCAGCTGTGTGTAGACACTGAGGCTTAACCCCCAAGACGGACGTGAGCTAGGACAGCTGTTGATGAATTTGAGTTTTCACTTCTGGGTGTCGGGGTCAGCACTATCTGTACATTCGTTCTGCAGATGCTAAGTGTGGGTCCCTACTTTAGAAGTTCAGTGAAGATCAGACCTTTTGAAAAGGAGCATGGGTAAATTGCAGAAGCAGCTTACCCAGGCTTCAGGGAGTGTTTGAGATGGGCCACAGTGAGCAGGGGCATGGGGTTTCCCTGAGCCGCAGGCCAGGAACCCTTCCCTGGCTCCCAGCTGTCTGCCTGTGGCTTTGGATGTTTGTCATGTATCTGCCCTGGGCTTTCTGGACACAGTAGGTTCTTGCACGAGATTAGACTCTTGCAGGGGAAATAAAGGCAGGGTAATGGGAAATAGGTGTGTAGATCTTTTGCAGGTGGACAGGGGCCAGGAGGTGGATCAGGGAGAGGAAGGATGTGAAAAAAGAATTAGGGTGTCCGCGCACCGCTGGGCATGGTGATGCATGCCTGTAATCCCAGCACTCAGGAGGCTGAGGGAGGAGGATTGTCGTGAGTTCCAGACCAGCCTGGGCTACAAAGTGAGCTCAAGGCCAGCCTGAACTGCATAGCGAGACCCTGTGTCAGAAAAGCCAAAACAAAGATGTCCATGTTCCAACTCCCCACGAGGAGTCTCATCATTCCGTACCACAAATGCGTGCTTAAAAAAGAAATGATCTTGCAGGAGGCACATGGGCCCAGTCGCCATCTGGCACTGGGGTCCGTAGCCCTGGGGTCTGGACAACACCCTGCTGCATGTGCGGAACGATGCCTGTGGTCATTCGCTCATTTCCTCCAAACGTCCCACAGCAAAAGCTCCCACAGCAAGATGTGCCACATGTGCCCATCTGGGGAGCCAGCTGGGTGGGGGCACACATTCTCCCACTAGGCACAGCTCCTACCTCTAAGCATTTTATAGACTTGGGTATGAAAATTCAACATAATGTAAATAAGATATCTGTGAAAATCAACTACAACCTAAATAAGAATGAAAGATGTCATACAGTAAATGTATATCTGATGATCTACATAAGATCTACATAAGAAAAGAGAAGTTGAATGTCAAAGTGAGAGACAGGGGGTGGGCTGAGGCGGGCTGGGGCTGGGGGCCATCATGTGGTCAACCTGGGGGTGGTCAGGAGGGCCGCCAGGGGCATAGGCAGCAGGTGGAAACACCTGGTTCAGATGCCAGGACAGGTTACTGCAGGCCTTGGTTCCTCTGTCCACCAGGTGGGGTTGCTGCCGGGTCCGTGTGGGAGATGCAGAGTGTGGTAGCGCGTGAAGTCCCGGGCTGAGCGCACGGCCCACAAGGTCGTCCTGCACCTGTCTGCTGGTGTCACTGGTCTTGCCATTCCGGTTTTGCAGTACTGTCAGTTGAACGGGGGTGCTGTAACCCAGAGTTCCACTGAGCTACCTCGGAAGCCTTATTTTCAGACTGGATCTTGCTGAGTTGTGTACGCCGGTGTGGAGCTTGCAGTGCCTCTGCCTCAGACTCTTGAGTAGCTGGATGAAAGGTGTATGCGGTACCACTGTCCGCAGCCTTGGCTGTACCCCATGACTGGGCAAGGCGGCGCAGGGAGAAGGGCCTGCAGGAGGTGGACGTTCCAGAGACCCCAGCATGTCATCCGGCTTCTACAGGGAAGGGGTGTCTAGCCAGGGGGAGGGATGCCTTGTCAGACGCAGTTGTTGCATCTAAGCCTGACATTCTGTTTAAACTGAGCACTTGCCCAAAGCGTGGCTGTCTGTGGAAGGAGGACGCGTGTCCTAGGCGGTGTTGGGTACCGGCGTTTGTGGAGGCTGTTTGGCTTGGTCAGTTGGCAGGACCCTCTCTCCAGATAAGTAAAGGGAAGAATTTAGGGGCCTCTTCTGGTTATAGAAGTAACGCTGTGCGCTGCGAAGTATTTTAAATTGAGGAGCGGCTAATACTGTAGCAGAAGTCCCACGTCAGTCCGTCTGCAGTCCCACCCCCCTG